ACATATATATATATATATATATATATATATATATATATATATATATATATATATATTTTTATTTTTTTTTTATTTTTTTAAAGCGTTGCGAGGAGGAAAAAGAGCAAAAATTGAATAGTCTTACCGCGACTATCAAACAGNTATATATATATATATATATATATATATATATTTTTATTTTTATTTTTTTTTTATTTTTTTAAAGCGTTGCGAGGAGGAAAAAGAGCAAAAATTGAATAGTCTTACCGCGACTATCAAACAATCACAGAAAATAATTGCTGCACCTGTGCGCAAAACACAAATGGCATTCGTAGATTCCATGGTGAAACCGCCCCGCAATGTTCTACGCAAGCAGGAGCAATACGGAACGAAAGCCAAAATGGTTGCCACACCAGCAGCGCGAGTAGCAGCGCTTTCCAGTGTTACGCCGAACGCAGCCAAGGTGGGAGATACGCGTCTGCGCGTCGCGGCTACCGTGCGGGATGCAGCGCAAGTTGGTTAGTACATCTATTAAATAATAAACATTTATTTTTATTCAGATCATTAATTATTATTTTCTTGTCGTATAGCTCATGCGCCAGTACGTGCAAAGAAGGCGCCGCTCATGGCCAAGACTTTGCAGTTCATGCGCGGACGCCACAAGCGATGAACTTACGTTTAATTTCGTAGATTTATGTTCGTATACTTTTGTTTAGATTGACTTCATATGAAAAAAAAAAAATTATATGTATTGCGTTTTAATGAAATTATGATGCTACAATAACGTATCTAANTTGCCACACCAGCAGCGCGAGTAGCAGCGCTTTCCAGTGTTACGCCGAACGCAGCCAAGGTGGGAGATACGCGTCTGCGCGTCGCGGCTACCGTGCGGGATGCAGCGCAAGTTGGTTAGTACATCTATTAAATATAAACATTTATTTTTATTCAGATCATTAATTATTATTTTCTTGTCGTATAGCTCATGCGCCAGTACGTGCAAAGAAGGCGCCGCTCATGGCCAAGACTTTGCAGTTCATGCGCGGACGCCACAAGCGATGAACTTACGTTTAATTTCGTAGATTTATGTTCGTATACTTTTGTTTAGATTGACTTCATATGAAAAAAAAAATTATATATATTGCGTTTTAATGAAATTATGATGCTACAATAACGTATCTATGTACATCTGAACCAGATATATGTATGTATAAATGTATGCGTACATTAAAAGAATTTAAGTGAAATAGTTTCAACTTAAAAGATAAATTAATAGTAATATGTATGTATGTATATCAGTAAAGAATCGTTACATCACGCAAACATATACACTCAAATATAAACTTACATTTATAAGTATGCATTAAACATAAATTATGGGTAATCATACATATGTGCCCCTAATTTTGAAAATGGTCTAAGTCACTTCATTCTATTCGAATTTAAACGAGCCTTGACCTGCACCTGAACGTGTCGGTTATTCGTTTAACTTCCTCAATCAAAGGCAAACGGTTTTGCCACCAGTTTATGAGGATAGAACGAGTTACGGAAGCATTCAGTTATAACTTATTTATAAGTAATCGGCCATTTAAGGACTAAAGGTATGAAGTGACTTACACCACTTTCAAAATTATCGACGCATATGTATTATGTTCTAAGATTTCTGAATTTCGTGGTTGAAATTGTTTCGAGTAATTAATTTGTCAACTAAAGTATTTATAAGCAAATGTAAACAGTTTGATACATACCCACTGATGTGTAATGCACGCATTACGGCTGTGCTAATTGTTAAAATGTATTTAAAACGNATTTGTCAACTAAAGTATTTATAAGCAAATGTAAACAGTTTGATACATACACACTGATGTGTAATGCACGCATTACGGCTGTGCTAATTGTTAAAATGTATTTAAAACACCATTATTTAAAGGGGTAGAGTTATAGTAGAAAATTTCTGATTAAATGCAACTCATCAAAAACATTACGTATGTAAGTATTATATTGGGAGTGCATGACTTCGTTTTAAAGGAAAAGTAACTAAATTATCTACAATAAAAAAAATCATTCGTAACCAGCCGGCCCGCGTCGTCTACACGAATGTCGTGGGAGCAGGTAAAACAATTGCCAATTCATCAATAGGGAAGTTCGTATATGGAAATTTTAGACCAACACCCCCATTGAGAGTGTTGACTAGTAGTAAACAAACGACTATTTATCGTTTATCTATGGTATTTTGAATGTCGTTTTCTCGTTCAATAGGAGACTGAATAGTTTTTAGGCACTCATCCTTTNATGTCGTGGGAGCAGGTAAAACAATTGCCAATTCATCAATAGGGAAGTTCGTATATGGAAATTTTTGTTGCGACCATTGCGAGTGTTGACTAGTAGTAAACAAACGACTATTTATCGATTATCTATGGTATTTTGAATGTCGTTTTGTCGTTCAATAGGAGACTGAATAGTTTTTAGGCACTCATCCTTCTACAAACAAACAGTTGTAGAAGGATGAGTGCCTAAAAACCATTCACAGTCGCTTATCGGTCGAAAAATCTGAGTTCACAGTAGCATGGAAAGTCGATAATCGAATAATAGTCGTTTATCTACTACTAGTCGTGACTCGAAATAGAGGTTCAAGACTATCAAGCACTGTCAGCCCAATTCTGAATACTCCCAGGGAGTTTGTTCTCCGGGAATCAGTTTCTCCGGCGAAAGAAATCTTTCAATAGGGAGTAGCATTTTCCCCGAAAATTCCGGAGGAGAAAATTCGAACTCCGCAAGAGCTGTTTGACACTTTTTTGACAGCTCAACTAAGCCATTTAATATAAAAAAATCCTCAAGGAAATATTATTCATAACTAGCCAATTCCCGCTTGCTTCGCTAATAACAAATTTTGCGTGGACCAATGCAAAAATTCCGTTTAAAAGCAAAAACGCTATGTAAAGTAAAAAAGTTTAATCAACTAAAGAGCAGAATCCTCCTCTTACATAAGCCAAAAATAGTAGCGCTTTCATGCCATATGGAATACTAATTCCTCTCGATGCCATGAATTTTGGCGATGGTCTTATTCCTTGCCAAGCGTGCATAATCTTCTTTGATCTTGCAACTACAATATGTGGAAGCCAATATAAGTCCTTATAAGGAAACATAAGAGCACAGATGAGCGTTTTCTGTTATAAGAGCGCCAAGGATCCCTGCTGCCGTACAGGATGAAAAATTTTCCCGTACATTCGCTAAATGAGTCGTGTGATCTCTTGAATATCGTTCAACTGAAGCCATTGATATGCCAACCCTACCCGACCAAGGGCTGTTGTTTGGAGCAACTCCTTGCAGTCGGATTGCTCTGCATCCTTCTTCTCCGGGCGGGCGTAGAGCCCAACCCCGGACCAGAAGCGTATTTCTGCTGTGTTTGCCAGAATCGACTCCATCCAAACTCCACTTCGGTTAGGTGCAATTCATGCAACGGATGGAGTCACCTAAGAACCTGCTCTGGTCTTAGGTCTCACCGGGAGTGGACCACAAGCTATGTGGCTCCCTGCTGCTCAAGCCAAACGGCACAATCAGCCTCCACGGCTACCCGCTTGCGTAACGCACCCAACACCCGAAGAGCCTGCACCGCTCCGAGAAGCTCCTCTGGGCAGCAGCAAACCTCCCAACCCTGCGGTCCAAGAAACGAAGTTGCACAGCAACTCAACTCTATTGGGTTGCGCCGCCTACAATGTGCTCCGTAAAGATCGCGAGCGAGATAATGGTGGCGGACTAGCGTCCATCTTACACCACACAGTGCAGTATCGGCTTATTGAAGAAGACATCGACCCGAGGGACACCACCCTAGAATGTCAGGGCATAGCTGTCCGGTCCGGCGATGTCGTGCTCGAAATATTCAACCCCCTGTCACCTGCTGCCCGGCAGGATATTACCCTGACATAGGTGCGCTACTCACGAGGTGAAAACCGAATGGTAGTAGGTGACTTCAACGCGCACCACGATCTATGGCACTCAAGCCTGGCCAATGATCGTAGGGGAAACCTTTTGGCTGAACAGATAGACGATTCGACATTCTGCACCATGAACGACGACGCCCCCACCAGGATTAGCTGCAGCAGCTCGCCAGACCTCACAATTGCTAGCGCTGGTTTGATCAATAGCATCTCATGGCGACCTATGCTAACACTAGCATCAGACCATCTACCCATAGTCTTCTCGATCAATAAGCCCACCGACTTTGCTCCCGCGGACCACCGAACCTACACCAACTTCAACAAAGCTGATTGGGACGGCTTCGCGGAAGTCACCGAGAGCAGCTTCGCCGACCTTCCCACACCCACAAACACACAAACTGGCGAACGCCAGTTCCGCAGGGTTGTCACTCTGGAAATCTCTTTCGAAGGTCGCGCTTCGTCGGACCCGAAGAAATGCGCACCTACTTTAGTAGGCAATTCACACTGCACCCTTCGGTAGACAAGGCCAATCGTCGAGTGACCAGGAGGCTGCATAAGCTGCCAAAAAACAGTGCACCACTGGTTTTCACCAGCTGTGAAGTGAAGGGGCCATCGGGAGGGCGAAAGCCTCCAAAGCCATTGGACCCGACGGAATCTGTATGCTGATGCTAAAACATTTAGGGCCTAAGGGAGTAGCTTACCTAACGAAGGTCCTCAACCTGTCCATGGCCACTCTCATCATTCCTGAACCGGGGAAGCCCGCCAACAAAGGAGACTCTTATCGCCCGATAACGCTCCTTTCCCCGGTCGCGAAGACGCTTGAGGCCCTACTACCATACTTCACTTGCCACCTGACCCCAGCGAAGCGCCAGCACGGATTCCGTAAAGTGCACAGCACAACAACAGCACTTAACGCCATAAACACCCAAATAACTCGTGGCCTAAATCGAAACCGCCCCTGTGA